ACCGCAGCCTTATGAGGATTGTCAAGCAAAATCGATTCAAGAATTTTAGTGAACTTTACAAGGAATGGACTGAGGCCAAGGCATCAAGAGCAATGAACTTTTCCATGACATTCTAATTTATTGAGATGCACCTTTATAATGCTTTTACATAAAGATTTCCATATCAAATGTTAAATTTTTTTATTAACTTTTTAACAGTTTTAATCGTCCATGCTGAAAAATTTGTATGAACAATAATCTGACCCTAAACTTTTACACTTAATAGAAGTGTCTATTAAAGCTCTTAATATAAAGCTATTTCTGATTCTGATTATTATCAGCATAATTCAACAGATCTTAATATTTTTTTGCATTTTTGTAAGCATTTCTTTTCAAGTTCAAATTAAAAAATGCATTCAACTTTTTTAATGTGGTTTGGGGACCAACATCATCACTGAATAAATCTTCTTGGACTTTGCATAATGATCTATTACATCAAGCACACATTCTTGAAAATTTAGCCAAAGCTACTTAGATACAACAAATCCACTTTGGCTTGTACAGGAACATCCTAGACAGGAGACGGGAACAATGAACTAGACTGCAGGGGATCTGAATGAAACTCTCCGAGCAAGAAATTATGATGGCTTCGACAAAAATAGGTCAGAGAATATGATGCAGGAGTCTATCTATAAATACTGAAATCATCCATTCGAGAGAGAGAGAGAGAGAGAGAGAGAGAGATAGAGAGAGGGAGGAAGTGAAATGGGGAGGATGAAGGAAAGAGAGAGAGAGAGAGAGAGAGAGAGACAGCGAAATGAAGAAAGACAGGAAGGGAGAAAGATGGAGAGGCATCGAGCCCTGAATCACCTCATTAATACTACATAGGCACTTGTACGCCCACTCAGGGCTGCTGTGAGTCGGTGGTGCTCGAACAGGAGCAAAGGCACACAAACAATTTCTGTCAAGCTCTGTCAAGTTTCGATGTGCTACCTCTTTTCTCTAGACTTCACCGTCTTTGTAAAAATTCAGTCACAGTGCTGTGCCCCTGTTCCCTCTACCTCTCGCCTGTCATGAGCCATGATGCTTCTGAAATTCTGTCAAGCTGCTACACCCGCCTTCGCCATCCCACGTTTGTAAACTCAAACTCGCTCAAAAACTCAATGACAATAATCTGTTAAAACAATAACAGTTGATTCAGATTGGTCAATCAAATAACTGTATTGAATGGTAGCTATTTTTCACCACTATCAATGGCAACATACCACCTCTATTTTCATCTTTTTATCCCTATTTATATCTTCTGAGATCCCAACCACCAAGGTTTATTGTGTGATAATGACTTGCTTGGTGCACATTCATCAATTTAATGTACTTTTTTTCATATTTTAGGCTTGATCTTAATAAAGATTTACAAAAGAGTTGAAAGCTACTGTCTGCTGCATGCAAATCACGGGGGTTGGGGAAGAGTGTGTTTGTGAGCACATACCATTTCCCATGCCGCTGACCACTGCCCCGTCACTGACTCCAGATGTGTTAGCATTACTGGACAGCACGTTGTGAGGGGCCAAACTGGGCAAAAACAAACAGCTGGAGAGAGAAGACGGAAATAAAAAATGAATGTCAATTTATCAGAAATTCCAGCATGCCAGAAATTTCACACATTTTATTATTGTCTCTCAGTAACAAACAGTCATAATATGAGGGAATATTTCACATTGGCAGCATAAAGAGTTATTTGTGGGTGTCACGCCTTATGTAACACTGACGGAGTGTGCTCACCATAACAGAACTGAATTACATCGTGTACAAAACATTACAAACGTCCACTGATGGAACTTATTTAAACACCAGATATTACTAAATGTTAGAAAAGCAAATAATGAGAATGGGTGTAACCCAATGCAAGATTCCTGTCAATCCATACTTCATTAAGCATTCTGCCATTCATCAAATAAACAGAAAACCATCCAAGTGTCACTCAAAACAGCTAAACAAGTCTCTATGAAGGCTAATTAACCCTGACAAAGGAAGCCTCATATGTCATTTTTTATATTATAAAAGCTGTGGCAATAAAAAAAAAAATCCCACATCACACTAACAATACAAGCATCCACCCAAAAACAGAGAAACATTAACACCTCCCACCAGACAAGGAAGTGTGTGAAGAAGGGTTCAATTTGGGGACAAATCTGCTCACAAAAGTGAGCAACATCTGACAAAATCTCCCTTTGGGAACATTTGGAGAAGTCCTTTTTGGAGAAAAAAAACCTTATTTATACATATACATCTTTTTTAATAATACAAATATATTTAAGTAATATTATTTAATTCATATAATTAGTAAAACAGATTACATATTGTTGCATATTATTATAATTATAAAAAAAAATCTAAAGATAAAACAATAGAAGTCTATGTATACGTGTGTGGGGGTTAAAAACAAACAGCTGGAGAGAGAAGACGGAAATAAAAAATGAATGTCAATTTATCAGAAATTCCAGCATGCCAGAAATTTCACACATTTTATTATTGTCTCTCAGTAACAAACAGTCATAATATGAGGGAATATTTCACATTGGCAGCATAAAGAGTTATTTGTGGGTGTCACGCCTTATGTAACACTGACGGAGTGTGCTCACCATAACAGAACTGAATTACATCGTGTACAAAACATTACAAACGTCCAATGATGGAACTTATTTAAACACCAGATATTACTAAATGTTAGAAAAGCAAATAATGAGAATGGGTGTAACCCAATGCAAGATTCCTGTCAATCCATACTTCATTAAGCATTCTGCCATTCATCAAATAAACAGAAAACCATCCAAGTGTCACTCAAAACAGCTAAACAAGTCTCTATGAAGGCTAATTAACCCTGACAAAGGAAGCCTCATATGTCATTTTTTATATTATAAAAGCTGTGGCAATAAAAAAAAAAATCCCACATCACACTAACAATACAAGCATCCACCCAAAAACAGAGAAACATTAACACCTCCCACCAGACAAGGAAGTGTGTGAAGAAGGGTTCAATTTGGGGACAAATCTGCTCACAAAAGTGAGCAACATCTGACAAAATCTCCCTTTGGGAACATTTGGAGAAGTCCTTTTTGGAGAAAAAAAACCTTATTTATACATATACATCTTTTTTAATAATACAAATATATTTAAGTAATATTATTTAATTCATATAATTAGTAAAACAGATTACATATTGTTGCATATTATTATAATTATTAAAAAAAATCTAAAGATAAAACAATAGAAGTCTATGTATACATGTGTGGGGGTTAATGTCCACCTCCTCCCTGTGTGCTCCCTTACAACCCAAAAAGCTTTAAGCCCAGCTGTGGCAGCACCATTAGGCTGGTCTGCATGCCCCAATACAGAACGTGTTTACATGAATTTTTCATGAAGGCAGATGGGGAGCGCACTGCGTGTGCGCGCGCGTTTTGTCAGCATTCGCTAGATGAAATGTGGGCCAGTACAAGTGATTTTTACATCTTCAATTATTCTAAGCTGCATGTTCTATTCAGATGTAGGAGGAAGTATTTAAAGACTCAGGAGGATTCTGGCTAAGACATATAAAAGATACATCATTTGGATTGTCTGTGCAGTTGGTGCAGGTTTAAAGGGAATTTGTGGCATTTAAGTCTGTAGAACTGCTGCGTAATTGTTCAAGCAATAGAAAGGTCTCTGGGAGACTAACCAAATTCAATCTGTGCACAACCAATATCACTTGAAGCATTTGGGTCTTTGTTATGTGTGCTGGGTGCAAAAACTGAACCGTCTCTCAGTAACAAACAGTCATAATATGAGGGAATATTTCACATTGGCAGCATAAAGAGTTATTTGTGGGTGTCACGCCTTATGTAACACTGACGGAGTGTGCTCACCATAACAGAACTGAATTACATCGTGTACAAAACATTACAAACGTCCACTGATGGAACTTATTTAAACACCAGATATTACTAAATGTTAGAAAAGCAAATAATGAGAATGGGTGTAACCCAATGCAAGATTCCTGTCAATCCATACTTCATTAAGCATTCTGCCATTCATCAAATAAACAGAAAACCATCCAAGTGTCACTCAAAACAGCTAAACAAGTCTCTATGAAGGCTAATTAACCCTGACAAAGGAAGCCTCATATGTCATTTTTTATATTATAAAAGCTGTGGCAATAAAAAAAAAAATCCCACATCACACTAACAATACAAGCATCCACCCAAAAACAGAGAAACATTAACACCTCCCACCAGACAAGGAAGTGTGTGAAGAAGGGTTCAATTTGGGGACAAATCTGCTCACAAAAGTGAGCAACATCTGACAAAATCTCCCTTTGGGAACATTTGGAGAAGTCCTTTTTGGAGAAAAAAAACCTTATTTATACATATACATCTTTTTTAATAATACAAATATATTTAAGTAATATTATTTAATTCATATAATTAGTAAAACAGATTACATATTGTTGCATATTATTATAATTATTAAAAAAAATCTAAAGATAAAACAATAGAAGTCTATGTATACATGTGTGGGGGTTAATGTCCACCTCCTCCCTGTGTGCTCCCTTACAACCCAAAAAGCTTTAAGCCCAGCTGTGGCAGCACCATTAGGCTGGTCTGCATGCCCCAATACAGAACGTGTTTACATGAATTTTTCATGAAGGCAGATGGGGAGCGCACTGCGTGTGCGCGCGCGTTTTGTCAGCATTCGCTAGATGAAATGTGGGCCAGTACAAGTGATTTTTACATCTTCAATTATTCTAAGCTGCATGTTCTATTCAGATGTAGGAGGAAGTATTTAAAGACTCAGGAGGATTCTGGCTAAGACATATAAAAGATACATCATTTGGATTGTCTGTGCAGTTGGTGCAGGTTTAAAGGGAATTTGTGGCATTTAAGTCTGTAGAACTGCTGCGTAATTGTTCAAGCAATAGAAAGGTCTCTGGGACACTAACCAAATTCAATCTGTGCACAACCAATATCACTTGAAGCATTTGGGTCTTTGTTATGTGTGCTGGGTGCAAAAACTGAACCGATGTCCCATTTCATACATATAAATCTCCTATTTAAGCAGCTAATCATTTGGAAAGAAGACAAATGATGATCACTGTGCTTTCATAATTAATGAAAAAGATGAAATATTAAAGATCTGTTATTTTCAGTTTAGCACATACCCTGATGGGATTATGTTAAACAGAAACAGATGGAGGCTCAGTGTGGATTCTTTGTTGCGCTTTGAACTGCGATACGTTCGGAGATGTAAGCGCATTTCAAGTCTGTGTTTCTGTGAGCTTTAAACTGGGTCAGGCTTTTAAAAGCACAACACCAAATACATTTTTGATTGACGCATATATCTGGTAAACACATTCTAAACTGAAGCCAATAAATCTCTGATGCCTAAACAGATGTCTGCTTACAAACAGTGACTGTGCAAACAAATCTTGATCGTCAAAAGGTATAGGCTAGACTAGCGCTGTCAGTCTTACCCGAATCCCTCTAATGACGTGTCAAACTCCACGAAGGCGGGCGTGACGGACGATCCGTGGAGATGGATGTCATGGGGCGTTGTCATGGAGACCAGGCACTTGACTCGGGTGAGGGGCACAGTGCTGCCCTCAGCCGATCGCACCAGACTTCGGCTGATCCGGTACTGGCTGTTGTCCTCGTTAATCGTGAACACGCTATCCGGCCCAAAACCCTCCATGGACAGAGTCATGCTGTCTGGATGTGGAAAAGGTCAAATGTACAGTCAGGCTTGTTCCGTAAACTCTACTGCTCTCTTAGTATTACACTATTAACTTAAAACATAGTTAACAGTGATTACTGCAAGAATTTTTACTTCACTTTAACAACACCATTTATGCATAAATTTGATCAATTTTGTTAATTTAATTTGGATTTATTTAATGTTATTCTGAAATTATGCTATTATAGTTTATTTACATATGTATTTTTATATATAAGGGATGTAACGATATCAAAATCTCACGATACATTAATATCACGATATGAAGTCCATGGTACGATATTTATTGTGATATAAAAAAAAGGACTAATTTTGTACATCTTAAAGTTAAATTATTCTATCTAGTCAGTCAATTGAACCAGACCTTTAAAGGGGACTCGCTTTTTATTTGTGATATACTGTCCCAGTCTAAATTACATTCATACTGGTGTTTTAGAAAGCCAAACATATTAGAATATAATAATAACAACAACAATGACAGTAATTTTTTTATCCATTGGCCACAAGTATATATATATATATATATATATATATATATACACACTGTATTCACACACACACAGACACACTTATTATTTATCAAATAATATATTATTATTGGCCATTTCAGGCCAAAATAATTCATATATAAAATGCTGCTGTGTAAAGAGTAAAGCAGTGTAACCATCAGTGTGCTAAAGGAATAAATAACAGGTGGATGTTGAATGTTGTAAATCTGACACTATAAAAGCAAAGGAAATTTCCTGTCTGGTAAATTCCTTTCATTCTTTTTAAATTACAGTTCTCTTAAATATCCTCATTCTGAGGTAATCTGTTGTGGGTATAACCAACAAAAATATCTGCTTGCACTGGACCCTGGAATGACTGCACAATTCCACTGAGGCTTTCTACTAAGCAAGCAGGAAACCTTTAAATTAGCAAGTTCAAAAAGGACTCGCTGGACACGGTGAGAGCTCGGAGAAAAGTAATTTCACTGGTAATTAGGGAAGCTGGGAACTCATCTCCAGCAAAACCCTGTCCAATTGAACGTCTCTTTGCTGGCAGAGCCGTGGAGGGCGAAAGGAGAATGTTTTGTTTGATTCTGATGGTGATTGATGGCATTTCACCAAAGACCACAGTCAGTGAAGCCTGAAGTAATGTCCCTTCTTTCACTGGCCCACAGAGAAACCACAGAGACAAGACCACATAACACTGACACAAACTGTTTACGGGATGGCACAAAAGCACAGTGACAGCTCTAGCAGTCTTTATGCATTCATTTTTTTCCTTACTGCGCATTTCAGCTTCATAGCTTAGGGAGCTAGGCTTGTGGACCCGATACTGCTTCAGGAGCTTTTTGTCCCAGGCACCGCAATTCAGAGGATTCCCAAGTCGTAAAAATTCCCTGAAAAATGCATAAAAACCATTTATTAGAGATAGTAATATCCCACACAATGAGCAATTGCTTGCTCTTCGAGCATTATCACAACACATTAGGAAATCCAGAAGACAACCACTTCAACTGATAAAAATAAACATTAGATAAATGCAATTAATAAAATATATAATTACTGTATAATAATCGTAATTATTGCAATATATGCTAAATTATTATTATTATTATTTTATTATTATAAATAATAAGAAAATAATCATATATATTAATCACTTAAAGAACTATGATCCAGAATGCAGTCGCATGAGATTTAAACAATATCAGACAGATTTTGATTTCTCAAATGAGCTGAAGTGCATTGCTTTTTTTATTTTTTATTATTATTTTGTAGTGAAGCATCCTCCATCACGTTAGACCAGCCATGCGGAAAACTGAAATCGCTAATCCGTTGGACTTAGAGACAACCCATAGAGCTTTGAATAATTGTGAGATATTGTCAAATTTGATTATTTTCCTTTTATGCAAACATGCAGCTGTGATAAGATCAAATCAGTAAAGACTGAAACGTGCAGGAGCCCCAGGAGCAAAACAGATTTTAACTGACTCATCTGGTCTTTGTATAAACAAAAATCAGTTCAAAAGAGCTCACATGTAGGAGACCAATCAACAGAAGGTTGGGGGCAAAAACATGTTCCGTTAAGGTATTATTCTTAAATATTAATCACTTCAATAAATATCGCTGAGTCTTTGAGATGTAATGGACAAAGAGCTGGCTCGCTAATCTGTACTGTATCACAGTTGTGTACTGTAATGTATACAGTATATTGTACATTACCAGCGAGGAGGCCCTCTCTGTCCTCATAATATTATACAATATAATTGAATATAATATAATATATTTTCCAGTCTCCATCTAAACATTTTTGGAGCAAACTGGACTCACCTGAGCACCATCGGCTCTAGGGCCTGGGAGGCCAGTCGCTCAAACATCCTCTGCAGAGGTGGGTGGAGTGGGTGATCTTCGTCTCCCAAAGCGCAGCTACAGCGCTGAAGCAAACGTGAGTGCAGACCCGCCTCACACAGGATCTGCTGGTTCCTCTCTGAATGCACTAGCAGCTGCAGGATGTTAGCAACCGCCAGCTGCAGGTCCAGAGCATGCTGAGGAGCAGAGAGAGCCTAAAGTGAGCTGTAGAACACTTACAGTAGAACACTCAGCTCAGATAAACACTAACATTCTGAAATTTAAAATTCACATTGCAGTGGCACAAGTCAAACATAACATGCTATTACTAGTCATTCTGAAAACAAGTACTTAAAGCAGTGGTTCTCAACCTTTTTTTCCACTGGGCCGCACTATGGTCCAAGTACAAGTCTCACGAGCCGCACGCATATCATTTACATATTACGTCACCAATACAAACCAACCCGATTTATAATATTATAGCCTAAATATTATAACATCTAATCGATTACATTCATTGATATAAATAAATAATTCTACTCACATTGATAAAACACCTGATACTGTCGGGAGCTGACCAATTTTGTGATATTCGGCTCGAAAGGAGTAACAGCACAGTGAAATTGCGATTGTAAGTTGCAGTCTGTAAGTCGAGCACGGAAGCGTGACTTGACACGCGACATTGCAGAAAATGTGAGCTTACAAATGTAGCCTATGTTGATCCAAATATGGAAAGCACTTTCGAATTTAATAATCTGAGGTTCTCTCCACATTTCTGCAATTAAGGATGATTGCTGCATAGTGTGGGTGTTTCCTTTTGCCTGAACATCTTCAAGTGAGTGGTGGGGCAAACCGAAAGTTGATGCCGAAAGTCCAGCACTCTCTTACCTTCACTGCTGATACTGCGACTACTCTTGTTTGTATGTGTTCCTTCGCTGGCATTTTCCACATTTCGTTTTTCTCCCTTAATAACAGATTTGTCCATTCTGATGCTCAATTTTACCGAACTAATGGCTGCTGATGACTATTTGAATTGAATTCTGCCAAAGTGCGCGCTTGTAAGTGTTTGTTAAATGCATAACGTTAATTACGTGAGTACGGGTCTGCTCATGTCTGAAAAATATCCTTACTACCTTTCAGAAACCGTTCAGAAAGCTCTCGGATTTCATCAAAAATATCTTAATTTGTGTTCCAAAGATGAATTTAAAGGTCTTAAAGGTTTGGAATGACATGAGGGTGAGTAATTAATGACAATTTTCATTTTTTGGTGAACTATCCCCTTTTTTTTTTTTTACTGGCCTGTTTTTCAAAGGTACACCCCTAAAAAGAATGTTCTGGGTTCTTACTGTCGATTACCACAATGTAATTTTATCTTGTCCCGAAGTTTGTAAAAAAAAATAATAATAATAATTTTCTTCTAACGGAAGTCTGTGAGCTAATATACTGTACTGCATGTAACTC